GGGTTGTCACACCTCACAGGCATAAATCAGGCAGTATCTTTTTTGGCACTATTGATGGAAACTAACTGGCTCCTGCTACCCCTTCCCCTAAAATCATCTCCTATGGCAGTATGAGAAAGGGAGGGTGGGATGAGGGCTCCTTTCTGCACAGGAGGGGCATGGACAAGGGAGAAGCACTCACTGGGGCATAGTCCCAGGCTGGCCTCCCCTCCGAAGCTACAATTGCTTGTCCATGTCTTTGTCAGATCTGGTGGCAAAGAGGAAACGCTTATGGCAAAGGTGGTTTGGGGCATGAAAGTAGAGTTAATGGAAGGGAGGGTTACAGACAGCCTCTTTAGAAGGTGGTGTTCACTCTTCGGTCAAGTTCTACAACTTTTAGTGTTTCGTTCCCCTCCAGTTTGGTGCTGACCCTGTAAAGGCACAGAGAGGAAAAGAGAAGGATTAGCAGGCAGCTGGTAACTACAATTTCCTTTTTGTAGTTTGTAATTTGCTTTGTGGTGTGATACAATCATTCGACTGTTTCTCCTCCTTTTCCCTCCTAGTTGCAATTCTCTGTCCCCAGAGTCCCCTGGTACCAGCCCCTCTACCGGTCCATATTCCTGCTTTATCCCCACCTGAGAGCAAGCATCCCAAACTAGATGGTAAGCATGATGGCTAGATATGGATTTGTTATGAACTGCATTAGACTCGTGTATTTACTACAGACGTCCAGCTCTATGCTAAATTCTGGGAAGGAGAAGATAAAAGGATGAGGGTTGATTCCTGGTTTAGAAGAGCTAATAATCCAAAGATGTTTAACAATGAACTCATTTAAAATAACAATAAATCTATAACTGGAAACAGATACGTGATTAAAATGGTATAACAGCCTAGATAGTGTATAGACATTCAGAGGAGGACTAGGAGGCTTTGTTATCTGGGCGACATCACAGAACAAATGGGATTTGCAGGGGGCCTTCAACAGCCAGGAGAACAGGAGAGACACTGGCATCATGAGCTAAGTAACCAGGTAGCCGAGTCTTCTAAGTCTCCAATGTCAGCCCCATATCTTCTCTAAAATGAGAATAATACAAATGCCTTACCACCTGGGGTAGTTAAAAGGCTCTATAAAATGCCAGCTGAGTAGTCCTAACCCAAAAATCTGAAATCCAAAATCCCAAACTTTTTGAGTGCTTGACATGACACTTACAGGAAGAAATGCTCATTGAAGCATACTAGATTGTAGATTAGGGCTGCTTAACTGGTAAGCATAATGCAAATATTCCAAAATCCAAAACCTGAAATACTTATGGGCACAAGCACTTCAGATAAAGGATACTCAATCTGCATCATATCTGAAAGTACGTAAAATAGCAAGCACTATACATGCTAAATACACATGTTTGATGTACCCATTTAAGAGTACATAGCTATGAACCTTCCCCTGCAGGGTAAGAGGACGAAAGTTGAAGAATTGGAAACAAAGTCATTTCCACTTATAATGGAACAGGATTATTTCTGGGAGGCTGTTGCTTAAAATAACTCACAGGAGCAGAGTTCAGCAAAATCACCAACACACTGCACACAACCAGAAGCCTGCATGCAGACCCAGGGGCCTCCCCTACCACAATTACAATACCATGTATTACTACAAAAGGCTCTGTCCTCAGAACTAGCTAAGAGCATCAACTCATGGAGAATTGGAGAAAAATGCAGATCATTTCAAGATGGAATGCATACATGCCCAGTGCCTCTCAACAGTGTCCTTCAATATAAATATATAAGTATATAGTTACAAAATATATGTGCTTTTAAAACCATACACATATGTGGACACAAAACACAATATTTACTCACTAGTTGGAAGGAAGCTAGAGAACATGCCTCGAAGAGGGATTTGCATAGCGAGCACACACACTGCTTTTCCTTCCTGGGACTTGGAGGGGAAAGCAGAAACAGTGGGAGGAGGGATTCCAGCCCCTGCCCAACTCCTGGAGCCACCACGGCCAGCTCCCCACTGATGCGGCAGACACGGGGGCACACATGCTAAGTCCCTGTCCCATCCCTGCTCACGGCAGTTGCTGGCCAGCAACAGATGCTCCTGAGCTCCAGGTCCTGGATACAGGCCCCAAGTGGGCCAGGGACTAGACTGGGACTAGGAGAGCCCACTTCCCGCACTCCAGGTTGCTGACTCACAACCCACCAACAGTGCGCTAGAGAAGTTGATGCTGTGTCTCTATGACTCACAGGTGCTTTTGTAGCTCCAAGAGCACTGACTTCTCCAGGCTGGTTTCATTTGAGATGATGAAATGGGGAAGATCCACATCCGGACTGGACTCCAGCCCTGACACCCTTAGCAGAGAGGAACCTCTATCCCAGCCCCCAACCTCCCCGGCAGAGGCTGGGTTGGATGGCTCCTCTGGGGGAGAATGTTCCTCATAGATCAGCAGGTTCCTGGATCTCACTGAGGACAGAGCAGAGCAACAAGGTGTTAGCAAAAGACCACAGGGGTCCAACAGTCCCCTCTCTCCAGAAGCTCAGGGCTGGTGGCTGATGACAATTCCTATATTCTTGTTGCCCAGGACTGAGAGTGCCAACTGGATCTGGCTTGCTATAAAGGCTTCAGGGTTTCAGAGCTTGTGCAATGAAAAATTATACCAATTATACAGTGCTGGAAGAACAATACAAAAAGCAAATAAACACAAAGCAAACTACCACCCCCAATGCTTTGAAAATAAAACTCCCCTCCTCACCCATCCATAAGCATCTAGGGAAAACGATTCATGGAGAATAGGAGTTAATACTTAGAGATGTCCAGACGCAGCTAAAAGAAAAAACATTTCCAGGGAGATGAGTTACAGGGCATTTTCATTTAGCTACCAGAGAGAAGACACAAAGCCAAAGCCATAAATCAAAGGCAGAGACAGTCTCTGTTGTTTTATAGGACAGTCACACAGCTAGATGGCTCTGTAGTAATCTTCCATGAATTAGAAACAATGCTCCCATTGGCTTCCAATTAAATTTAGATATAGTCCTCTGTGGAAAAAGAATTTCCCAAGAGGCCACTGAAGTCATTTGCTTGGCATGCCAGCCCTCTGTCATACACCTGGCAGGGATACACCTGCCTGGCAAAGACCACAGACATTTCAGAATGGCACAATTGTCCCTATCCCAGATCCAGCACAGTAGCCCCTTATCTACAGGGGACATGTCCCAAGACTCCTAGTGAATGCCTGAGATCGAGGACAGTACATAGAATTCAATGTATGAATTGTTGGAAGATACAAAATTCAGACCATAGCATCCATCCAATCTGTGTATTCCTTTTCCTTTATTCTCAATGACTGACCAACAAGGCCCAACCTGCCAAGATAATGTGGGCATTTACCTCTTACTCAGAACAGTGCAAGCTCATGGTGAGTTTCCTATACATACACGCATACCTCTGATTAACAGATTAACAATACAAACAATAACATCGAACAATTATAATGATATCCTGTAATAAAAACTACATGAATGTGGTCTCTCTCACTCAGGTTCTCTTACTGTATTATACTCATCTATTTTCGGGCTGCAGTTGACTATAGGTAACAGAAACCTTAGAAGGCAAACCTTAGAGAAGAGGGCATGACTGCACCCCCTAACTCCACATTCATTCCTATTAGCATGTGTGTTCGTGTACATGTTCCTTAATCACCACCCCTTATCTCCTACATTTTTATAAGAGATCATTGATCCAGGTGAGACTATCATATATTCATCTAACACTCATGTCTCCATGAGTGTTAGATGAATATATACATCTAAATAATAATGTTTTGTAAGAAAAACTGATGGTTTAATTTCATTTTACAAACTCTTACTATGGTCACAAACAATTTCACCCAGTGGAGGCAGAAACACAGAAGTTCTCTTGAAATGTCACAGAAAGCATAATCCTCTTCCTTTCCCCCATCTACTTCCCTCCTCCTTATCAGAACTGTAAAAGAGGATGTCAGAATTGATCAGGAAACACAGTCTAGAACAGCAGTTTGCAAACTGTGCTCCATGAAGCTCTAGAGAATTCCTAGCGATGCCTCAGTATAGTGAGTGACGGACCAGTGGGGATGCCAGCAACCTGGTGCCAGAACTCATATGCCTCTTTCTTCCCTTCAAATGAACTGGCTTCACTTTTGCCACTTTTTAAAAATTGGAATTTTCACATATGATTCCTTTCAGAAAGCTGAGAAGGGCCAGCTATAGAGAAATGAACCAAGACATGCCCACATTTCTGAGCACTGCCTTACCAATGGAGGCTGTGTACGGCTCCTGCAGGGAATGCTGGCTGGGCAAAGCCATCTTGGTAGCAGAAGGGTAGGGCCCATAGCCCTGAAAGAAGCTGCCAAATGCCACAGCAAAGCACAGCACGACGACCTGCAGGGGAAGGAGAGAACACAGGAGCTGTGGATCCAGGCTCCACAAACAAAGCTTTAGACCCACCATGCCTGGGAAAGCCAGGGAGACAGACTCCTCTCTGTCCAGAGGTCACATCACTGGAGTGAGTGGTGTAGTTTCTCCAATGGCACAGCACAAGCCCTGGGCAAGTTGGGAGAGACTGGAGACGGAGGAGCAGGCTGGGGCAGTTTCTGCTACCCCTTTGGGAAACTCACCATGAGACAAGTGCCCGTCTGTGTGCCGGCTAACTTGCAGGTACGAGAAACCTTGCCCATCACCAACGTCTGAAGTTTCTGGAGTTGCTGAAGAAGGGTCCTGCCAATGATAACAAATAACAGTCATGAAGGGAGCTGAGAAGGAAGTGATGCTTTGTGATGATCTCCCCCCACGCTCCAGGAAGGGTGCTGTGACTTTGTGCCTGCATTTGAACAGGGCACTGAGGGACAGTTTCCTCTGGAAGAAGATGTGCAGTACCTTCTAGCACCATTGTCACAGAACTCACTGGGGCTCAGAATCAGCCTTAACACTTAACAGCTGTACCTGAACTTGCACTGTTCTGAGTAAGAGGTAAATGCCCACATTATCTCGGCAGGTTGGGCCTTGTTGGTCGGTCATTGAGAATAAAGGAAAAGGAATACCCTGATTGGATGGATGCTATGGTCTGAATTTTGTATCTTCCAACAATTCATACATTGAAACCCAATCCCCGAGGTGACAGTATTAGGAGGTGGGGCATTGGGGGGGATGATTAAGTCATGAGACTGGGGTCCTCATGAATGGGATCAGTGCTCTTATAAGGAGCTGAAAAGACTAGAATTCTTCTGTTTTACCATGTGAGGACATAAGGAGGGGCGCCTTCTATGAACAGGAAAGCAGGCCTTCACCAGACACCAAATCTGCCAGCACCTTGATCCTGGACTTCCCAGCCTCCAGAACTATAAGAAATTCATTTCTGTTGTTTACGAACCATGCAGTTTTTGGTATTTTTGTTACAGCAGCCTAAATGGACTAAGTCACTGTTGATTAAAAGAACTCAGCCAATTGATGAGAAACACTCACAAAGACTTAAGAAAGGAGAAGAGCAAAGAGAAAAAAAAAAAATTGACCAGCAGAGAAAAAAAACTGACCACCAGGAATGACCAGAGGTGGAGGCTGTGTTGGAAATGGCAACAGTATCACTGAGCAACAGACACTCAAAGGCAGACTGGGAGAGGAAGGTAAAGAGCAGAGAAACAAGAACAGCTGTTTAGGACAGGGCAGCCAACAGCCCCTTGCACCTCAACTCTGAGGTTCTTGAAGGTGCTTTAATCTTGTGGCTCTTGAAGGCACATGGCACCTCCATAGTCAGAAACAAAGCAAAAATACCAAAGAGCAAAGAGGTCTGTCCAACTGGGCCCTCACACCCAGGGCCAGGGGTCTTAGGAACCATCTTCTTTTCCAAGAAAAGGCAGAGAGCATGAGAGAGAGAAAAAAAGATGTTTTATCCCTAAAATTGGACAACTGTGCATCTCCTTAAAAGGCAAAGATTTAGGAATAAGAACAGTCTTATATACTCTGCTCTGCGAGATCAGGACACAGAAAGAGCAGATGGTAAAAATTCTTTGCAAATTCTGAACACTGGAAGGCACTGAAGAGGATCTAACAACACAGCCTCCAGAGTTTTGGTTGCAGCCTCCAGTTTGAGTTTGTGTTAGCAGGTCGAGTTGAAGTTCCCCTTCACCCTTATCCCTTATTCCCAAGTCCAACACACATGGCAAAGTGGACAGATTTTATGAGTAGATGCTTCTTCTTGAGTCTCATGGATTTTCAGAAAATTTGGGCTGTGATGTAATAATGTTAGAGGGCCACACAAGTTCATCAGCAAGTCATTTGTTCACAGAAGAGTTCTGGGCTTTCACACGTAACTTGTTTCTCATTAGAATCAGCACCCTGCATAGCTTTCCCATGCTAGAAGGAAGCAGATGTTCTCCAGAGTTTGCAACTTCTCCTTGGCAAGTACCAATGAAACAAGTTCTCCCAACTTAAGCAAATTAAGGACAGCTGGCCATAAGAACAACTGTCTTTCAGCAGTTTAAGTGGCCTGGGAGTGGTGAGAGAATGGAAGCAGTCCTCAGCAAACAGGGCAGAGGCTCTCTGGACCCCAAAATTCCTGCTTCTACATGTGGTTCCATCTACATCACATTTTTGCCTGATTTTAATTTAAGCAACACAAATTCATCCATGAGTAATATCATTAATTTAAATGCTAGTTAATGCGGAGGTCTTTTTGTACTTAATTGTACTTTTTTTCACTTCTGGTTATATAGAAGTATGATCACATGCAGTTTAGACCTGCCTTAGATTTGTATATATTCAAGTACCATTTTCTTTCAAAGCATTTTGTATGCTACTCAAGGCTGAGAAATACCAAGCGCTCGAGGACTCCAAATTTTATACTTAGAGAAAAGGTTTGCAACAAACTAGTCCTATGACGCAGCACCTCTTCTTCCTCATCCAACCTCTCTCTTCTCCCAGGACTTCCCCAGAAAACCCCTTCCTGCCCACAGAACAGCTGCCTTCCAGAACAAAGGGCTGGTGGCATGCTGCAAGCCTGTGTGTGCTCATCTACACAGCTGAGGTTCTGCAGGAGTGGCACAGGTTGGATTGGCCACCTCCTGTGATGCCAGCCCCAAAGTCCTTGCTGTGCTCTGGGACAGATTCATGGGTGTGCCCACAGACAAGAAGACAAAGCACATACCCTTTCCTCTCCTATGCAGGCCCCCTTCTATGATACCAATTAGTTCCAATGAGTTAGGTCTTTGCTGCCAGCTAAGCTATGGAAAGCTGTCTCCCTGCCTACTAGGCCTGCCGCAGAGCTACCTTTAAGTGATGGCTGCTGAGTTCCAATGGGCACTCCCGCTGCCTGTGCGCCCGTGGCCTCATGGGCTTTAGTGGTGCTCTGTGCATGAGTGGATAACATTTCTCCATCCAGTCTTCAGTTGGGTGGTACTTTTCCTGATGTTCTCAAAGATCCCATGTTCCTTTTGTTCCAAAGTCCTAAGGTGTTTTGTAAGTGAAATGACCATTCCCATTTTATTCGACAGTCCTTGTTTACCCACAGTCATGCCATATTTCCTCCCTGGCCCTCTTCTGCTCCACGCCTGGTCTTCAGAGTGTGAGTGGCTGGCCGAGAAAATAAATTCTACGTAATATTCAGAATCACTTCTCCCTTCCAACTTCTGGCTGAAATGGCTTGGCCTAGTACCCCCTTCCCTGTCTCCTAGGAATCCCTCCCCAAAACAGACTGCCAGCAGGCCAGGTATACCTAAAGCCCACTGATAGAATTCCTTAGGCTCAAATTGTGACACGTACAAAGTGCTCCAAGTGTGGAAGAAGGACCAGTTAAGCCTGGCTGCAGAAAGCAGGGAAGGTTCATGTTTCCTAACTATATGGCACTTCACTTGGCATTCATGGGCACATCCTTTCCAAACTCAAAGATGATTATGTGCTGCATCCACTGCAAATGAAAATGGTTGCTTAATAGTCCCTGATTTCTAACAGTGTATATCCAACTCTTTAAGATGAGCAAACATGTAGTTTAAAATACATATCTTCAGTTTAAAATTTTGGTGGAAGGCAACAGTGACTAATAATGTGCTGCTTGCTGATGCTTCTCCTCCTTGAGTTGGAGAAAGGAAACTGAACTGATGGTGAGAATGGCAATACTCCAAGGCCCCGTCAATCAGCAACACTGAAACACTTTGCCAGGAGAAAGTGGGTTAACTAATTCACTCCCAAAATCCAAATGATTACTATGATCCAAAAAGTCTGGGAAATTCACACACATTCACATAAAGAAAACACTCATTTTCATCATAAGGAAAGAAAATGAACTGTGACAGAGTACTGAGTGACCACTTATTAAATTCGAGGAACTACATATACTAAAATACTTGGTGACTGTCTCAAAGTCACATAACTGGAAAGTAAAAGACCTAAGATGTAAACAAAAGTCCAACTGACTCCACAGCTTGTGTACTTTCCAATGTGGTAGGGCAAGGTGCCATAATCCATAACCTAATAAAATTAATAACAAAACATGTCCTAGTTAAGCAGATGTTCTTTAACTCCAGTGACATTAATGTCATACTGACAACAGCCCAACCAAGAGAGATGTCCAGTGTTAGATATGGAAATGTGGCTATTAGAAGGGACAAAGCCACAGATGCTTCCACAACAAAGACCCATAACAAAGCCCATTCCAATGGCAACAAGAGGCACATCAACAAAATTTAAGTAATAATACACATATAACAGTCATAAGGGCGGGTATATCTTGTGTGGCATCTCTCTAGAGATACCAAAGATAAATGCAGATAACAGATTTTAAAAAATCAAGGCTGCCCCCTGTCCTACTTCAAATGTCAGGAAGTCAAATCTCAGCTTTATTTAGAGAAATGGAATATATGAGACCTATCCCTCTGTCAAACACCACAGAAGTTGATGGGTGAGGTTCTGAAGGCAGAGGCACCAGCGTTTAGATCACAGTACTGCTGCTATGTTCCTTTAATCAAGTTACTTAAGTTCCATGCTTATGCAGCTCATCAGATGAATTCCCTTGACCATATCAGTTAACAGAATAATGAGAGATTCCCTCTCCTAAGGTAACCCTGGGTCTGTTGAAGAATGCCTGCTATTTCTCTGCACCAATAACAGATGAAACCAGCCCTTTTTATAGGAAAGTCTGTAACTTCATAACTGATATGTTGGTCTGGGATGATGTGGTAACTCTCTGATGTCACTGGGACAGATATCACTGCCTGCAGCCAAAGAAACTTGGATGACAGCTTCCCCCCTGCTTGCATGAAGGGCTGGGTGAGGAGAAGACGGCCAGCAGATGAAATGGAAACGAAAGCTATAAAAAGTCAACCAAAGCAAAAGACAGATCCAGTGGTGCCTTTAAAGCTCAGTATAAACTCTCTCTTTATCATTGTATTTTAAAGCACCAGTGATCATGGCTAATTACAGCTTAATGAATTCTTGGGCTTCCAGGAACAAAATCTTAATTTAGAGAAAGGAATACTCTTAGCATACGTTTATCTGGGCCAACAGATTTTTCACAACTTGTTAAATTGGAGTGTCCAACACTTGATTGAAAATGTAGATTTTGTCCTGTGGTGAGATGTAAAAAATAAACTTAGTGGCTATCTTCATACAGCTCCTTGAAAAAGAGCAGTCAAAGGCAGCTGTCAGGCTTGCCCAAAATAAAGCATCACCCTGAATCTTGGGAGGCATATAAAGGAAATTGGGCAGAACAGTCAAAAGTGTCCAAGAGT